GAAATAAGACAATGCAATTGTGATTTCTTATTTTAAGTGTAAATTGTCTTGTTCCATTGGCAAAGTGTCTCTTTTACCTCCTCAATCCAAGAACAAATGCACTTATTTTAAGAAAAATGGCTCATCTAGATTTCAATTTTTTCCGGTGTAATATTTTTCACTATTTGGGGTGAAACAGCCGCAGCGTTCAGCCTTACCTCCCCAATCATCCCGTTCCAAATCCCGTGCACCAGTTTGCCGTGTTTTCCGTTGGTGACCAGATAGAGGTCAAAGGAGAACTTAATGGTTTTGGACAACTTCTTCAGGATGTCTATGCAGAAGCCTTTGCAGCACAGTTTGGTGTAGGACTCCGAGTGGACAGTGCTGTTAGAAAAGAGAGATAAAAATAACTGTCACACATAGAATATGCTTTTTTTGATCAAAGGCGATATCTGTGGCTATATTTAGCTGCAGGCATCAAAGCCGTTGTTCTACTTGCTCCGCTGGGTGAGAGCTAAATACTCCCAGGCTCTCATGCTGTCATCGTTAGCAGCAGCGCAGTGAAGGACAGGATCTCCGAGGTTCATTAGCTAAAATCGATGCCGGTTAAAAGGTGTGTTTCAAAGCCAAGCCAAAAAGCAGAAGAGACGCACAAATAGACTTTCACACAGTCCCACAGAGGCCTTGGTGACAGGCTGAGCGACTCCCATGGCCTCCAATCAACATCTATTAGGGTCTGTTGTTTTTCCCGCTTCCTCTGTGTAACCTTGCTTCTTATCAGGAAGGAAAAGAAGACAGCAACGTGTTTGGGTAAAAAAAATTAAATAAATAAAAAGGTAATCAAGTGTAGAGAGAAAATAAATATATTTTTTAAAAGTAGACAGAAAATTAGGTCACAGCATGAAACGGCTGCTGAAATCGGAGGCGCTGTGTGTGTTTCAGCATGTCGAAGAGAGAAAGTAAAATGCTGCGAAATTATGGTATAAATTAGCAAAACATAAACATTAAAATGTTAAATGAGTAATTAGTGTTATAGTTAATTGTTTTTCCAAATGATTAAATGTTAAAAAAAAAAAGAAATAAATACACTGCAAAAATTTTTTATCTAAATAAGTCATTTTTTCTTGGAATTGAGGAGGTAAGTGAGACACTTTGCCAATGGAACAAGACAATTTACACTTAAAATAAGAAAAAACAATTGCTTTGTCTTATTTCAAGTGCATTTTATCTAGATGCCTTATTTTAAGAGTAAAAATACTAATTCCATTGGCAAATCATCTTATTTAACTGCTCAAATTAATGGTAAATACCCTTAATTTAAGACATTTTTACTCATTTTGAGATCATTTTTGCAGTGTAATAAGAGAAAATATCTTCAGAGGTTTTGCTTCCTTGATGGGACAAACTTGCGTTAATTAACTGCTGCAGGAGCCGGCCACCTGTCGCCATTTAACACACTCTGCCATCACAAACAGCCGGAAACTGGGCCGTCAACACACACACATGTTCACACGCTGATCGTTTTCAACACTGCAAAAAATCTAAATCTAGATAAGTCATTTTTTCTTAAAATAAGTGCATTTGTTCTTGAATTGAGGAGATAAAAGATACATTTTGCCAATGGAACAAGACAATTTATATTTAAAATAAGAAAAAACAATTACATTCTCTCATTTCAAGTGAATATTATCTAATTATCTTATTTTAGGAGTCAAAATTCTCATTCCATTGGCA